ATATTTAATGCTGAACTTTTCACAAAATTGAGACTTTTGTGGTAAGTTATATTATAAATATATTATATTTAATATTGTAATATTACAAACTTTTTTATAAGTTACATTATAAATATATTATATCTAGTATTAAGAATGTATTATGTTTAATGATATTAAAATATTGCAAATGTATCATTTTAATATTAAAATTTTTCTAAAATTGAAATTTTGTTCTCAACAAATATATTATAAACACATATTTAATATCACTACAATATTATACAGAGTGATGTATGTTAAAAAGAAAGGATAATGTAATATATTAAATTCGTACTATTATTTTATATGAATAACATCGAATTTATTTCAAATTTTGATGAAATTTTCCTAAAATTAGAACTTTTGTCTGAAAATAAATATTTTACATATAAAAATAATATGAAATTTCAAACACCTTGACAAAAATCAAATATGTATACGCCATATAAAATTAGCTATAAACAATGCTTTACGACTGTAATATTTGAATTATTATTTTCACGTAATTAATTGTTAGAGAACAGGAGTATGAATCCTATCTAAGTCACACACCGCGTAATCAAGTTTGTTCGAAATTTGTGTTAGTTCTACAATTTTGATTTAGTATTGTCTCCTAGTTCTCCTTGTCTTTGATGAATCAGCAAGTTTGATACGGTATACGAGATAACTAGTCAAATTGCGTTAAAGAATTTCTGGTTGGATGTACGAGTTTGAGATTGAACGTAAATTATCATGCAAAATTATGCAGAAGTATTTTAATCCAAAGAAATCTTTCATGTGTAATATTATTTATGTATTATTATATATGATATATTACATTTATTCTTATTCTTATATATATTATATATTATTTTCTTTTTATTAAGAAGTTATTAAACGTCACACTTACATTGTTACATTATTCGTATTATATACGCATATTACTGAATACAAATTTATTATATTCCTTACATATAGTGACGATATTTATTCAAGATAATTTTATTGGCATTTTAGTAGCCATTTTTATGATAGATAGTTACGTATGATTTATGTACAATTCTTAATCTCCAAAATGAAAGATGTACGAATCAAATTTTATTTAAATAGGTGTAGAATATTTATTTTATAGTATGCATTTAGAGTAATTCATAACGAGATGATTATAAGATGTGATTAAAGCAGAACAAA